TGCCTGTAGGTTGGTATAAGATAAACCAGACAGTGATCAGAGATCACCAAAGCTGCCCATGGGACAGAGTGATATGCATCCTTTATTGCTGTGTAACAGTGATCCAGTATATTACTGTCTCTGGTGGGACATGTAACATGCTGTCTGTATTTTGGCAGTTCACGGGAAATATTTGCTTTATTAAAGTCCCCGAGAATGATTAAAATAGAGTCCGGGTGTTGTTGCTCCGTCTCTGTGATCTGATCAGCGAGTTTTTGCAAAGCCAGGCTCACGTGTGCTTGCAGAGGAATGTAACCCCTCACGAGAATGAATGAGTGAAACTCCCGCGGCGAGTAGAATGGTTTACAGTTAATGAAGAGCGCTTCTAGATTGGGACAGCACATCTTCTTTAACACGGTTACATCTGTACACCACCTTTCATTGATGTAAAAGCATGTCCCACCACCGCGCAATTTCCCAGTTGATTCTGTGTCGCGGTCCACTCTGAACAGCTGAAAGCTTGGCAGATGTAGCGCGCTGTCCGGTATGGCGTCATTCAGCCAGGTTTCCATGAAACGCAGAGCAGCAGAGTGTGAGAAATCCCTATTTGTCCAGGAGAGCAGAAGTTAGTCAGTTTTGTTGGGTAGAGAGCAGAGATTTGCCAGATGGATGCTAGGCAACGGCGTTCGAAATCCGCGCTTTCTGTGCTTCACGTGCGCGCCGGCTCGCTTCCCCCGTCTGCGCGTCCTGAAGCGTTTGATCAGTGCTGCTGCTCCGCCAACTACAATGTTCAGCAAAACATCCGAATAATCGAAAACCGGTAGGAGATTTTGTGGTGTGTTCTGCCGAATGTTCAGCAGTTCATCCCTGGTGAATCTGATCGTGTTTGAAAAACAAAAGACAGGAAAAACTAACAAAAACACTAAAACAACTGGAGAGAAAAGCAATGTGGCTGCCATGTGCGGCGCCATCTTGATCAAAATATTAATAAAATATAACTAACATGTGCAGGCTAGCAGGCATTGCTTTAAGTGTTTTCCTATAGAATACACTGTATACAGCCTTTTTATATCATGATTTGCGTCCAATATTAAGTGTTATTTATAATGATTTTTCCATGGGATGGAAAACGTTAAACATGAAATTTAGCGCATTGAATTCTGGGCTCATCTGCTTGACTGTACATACTATTTTTAATGAACTGTATACCGAATTTGGTCTTTTAATATCACTTACTTTAATGCATTTCTTAAAGTGCCCCTATTATGGGTTATTAAAGGTTCATATTTTGTTTTTGGGAGTCCCCAGCAACAGGGTGACATGCATGCAAGGTCAAAAACACTTTCATTGTCTTATAATATGCATTTATTTTTACCTTACATGCTCAACGACTCCCAAACAATTTGCTCAACGTTTCATTTTTCCAAACCCCTCCTTTGCGATGCTAATCTGCAGTGATTGGTGATTTCAGCAGGGTTTGTGAGCGCAGTGCTGCTTTGTGTGCAGCCGTTACCAGGGAAACAGCTATTTTTACAACTCCAAAAGCAGCACCTAGTGGCAAAGAATTAATTCGTATTTTCATTCAGACCAAGTTTCCAAGTTTTCCCGGGTCTGCGCGCGTAAGAAGTGGGCGGGCAATATGCTAATGTTTCATGTTGATGTCAACATGAAACAGCTTGGGATTCGTTTTAAAAATGAACCGTTTCAGTGATTCAGAGTCGACTCTTTCTTTTGAGAGACAACTTTTATACACGGTGCACTTTCAGATGTAAAACTTCACAGGATGTGTTACACACTGCATGAAAGGTAATTTAAAAAAAATCCATAATAGGGGCACTTTAATGCGTGTTAATATCTGCTTGCCTGTAATAGTTTTCATCAACAATATGATGTATACTGAATTTGGTCTTAATCATATTAGTACGTTACGCCATATTCAAGAGTTCACACTAACATATAATAGGATTGAGCAATTATTAAGCATGCTGTCCAGAGGGAGGGCTCCGAGCTCGGGAGAGAGCCCGAACTCCCCAAAAGAAGCTAATAGGCATAAGACAGCCTCGTGCGGCTCGCCACGTAGGACGGCGAGCCCTACCTGCCGCCAAATGAGGAGCACGATGGAATACCAAGTGAGGGACTCTTGCTGCGTCTGAAAGGAGCTGCGGCTCTGCTGCACCAGGAGGGAGAGTCCCTCTTGTAGCTGGATACGAGGCGTGGTTTGTGTCGGATGGAGGGCTCTCGCTGCGACCGGCGTGAGCCGCGGCTCTGCTGCCCCGGAAGGGAGAGTCCGGTCCGATGCTGAATAAGCCATTAGGCTCGCAATGACGGATGGAGACACTGCGGCGGAAGTATCAAATGAAGTGGGCACTGCAGCGGCAGTATCAAATTGAGCAGGGCACTGCGGCAGCAGCATCCAATTAAACGGGGCACTGCGGCAGCAGCATCCAATTAAACGGGGCACTGCGGCGGCAGCATCCAATTAAACAGGGCACTGTGGTGGCAGTATCAAATGAGGCGGGCACTGCAGCAGCAGTATCAAATGAAGCAGGGCACTGCAGGGGCAGTATCAAATGAAGCAGGCCAGGGCACTGGGGCGGCGGCAGCATCCAATTAAACAGGGCACTGTGGTGGCAGTATCAAATGAGGCGGGCACTGCAGCAGCAGTATCAAATGAAGCAGGGCACTGCAGGGGCAGTATCAAATGAAGCAGGCCAGGGCACTGGGGCGGCAGCATCAAATTAAGCAGGGCACTGCATCGGTAGTGTCAAATTTTTATTTTTTATTTTTTTTAAAGAGAGCGGCTTCTGCAGAAGCGAGCACTGCTGCGGCAGTGGAACATAAAGATACGGACTCCTGCAGGAGAGTGTACTGCTGCGGTATCTGAAAAGAGAGAGGCATCTGTGAAAAGGGGCACTGCTGCTGCAGTAAAAGCGGAGATGTTCGCCTGGGGGTGAATTCTGAATTCTGTTGTAAAGAAATTGGCAAATATTAAAGATTAAGTGGACATTAAGTGTTTAAACAAGGATCAGATCATGCAGTGACATGTAAAACAATCGCCAGGCCATTGGCACCTTCTATAGGCTTTTAATGTGATGCTTATTGTACATTATAATGTTAATATGTTATGTTGCGTTTTGTTCAACAAAACCATCTTGTTACTTGCTTTTTATACTTATTTGAACCAATTATTATGGCCTCATTACCATTAGATATGGTTTTAGGTAATTTTAAAGGCTATTGTTGATTAGGCCTTTTTTTATTATTACTATAAAAAAATTAATTCTAATTATCCGATTAATCATCAGAATAATCGACAGACAACTCGGTAACTTTGGTTACCAAATTAATCGTTAGTGACGGCCCTAGATGAGAGGTCTATGTCTGCACCTGCCAGGATCTGTGCTCACTGCTCAGATGTGAGCCACAGGGTGGCTCCAAGGCAACAGCATATAGTGGGACGGGCAGTGATGTTGCTGTGAAAAGAGAATATTGTGATTTTGAATGAAGTAGATGGCTGAGAGGGAGAGGAGCAGGGGCCACGATTGTCAGTGGAGGCAGCCTCACGCTTACCTCAACCTCTGGGCTAGTGTCTCCTATGGGAGCTGGAGGCCACTGAAAAGGAAAAGGGGTTAAAAGAAACGGGAGGAAAAGACTGGGATGTGAGGGCCTGTGTTGCAAGTGTAAGCCGCCGAAAAAAAAGCCTATCGTTTTTACTTAAAACCAATTCATTTTTAAGCCCTGATTTTAGACATACATGAGATAATATATCATTTTTTGACTAAACGTTTAAAAATAACGCTATAAATGTTATAATAAGTGAATTAAACGTAGGCCTACGTCAGTGTGAGGCCATACTAGTTGTCAACCCAAAACAAGACCTTACTAGTCAACCCAAAACAATAATCAACTTTGGTTAGACCCAGTGTAACCAGTGCTTATGGAATTAAAAATTTTTTTATATATATATATATATATATATAGTTTAAATTATAAGTGTGTGTGTATATAATATAGGCTATAGAATAATTTTATTTAGTCATATTCGTGATTTATGATTTTTATGAATTTCGTTTTATAGAATAGTTAGGGTATTCATTGTTCGTATATTGCTTATGATGAAAATTCATTAGCCTAGCCTATTTGTTATGAAGTTGATTTAAAATTCTTCATAACATTTAAGAAGTTAAAAGTTAAGAGAATGAAATTAGCCTGTAGGCTATAGATCTATAAAATAATGTTCTTAACTTTTATTAGACTGCAGATCGGAAAAAAAATTATTCTTGATAATCTTTAAAATGAGAGAAATCACTGTCATAATTTAGGCTATTCTTTCTTCGACTGCAGAAAAAAACGAAACCATTTAATTTGCAGTGTTAACTTATGAATTAAATGAAAAACAAGAAATAAATCACTAGAACAATAGTTTTTTTTTTTTTTTCTTGTAATCAAGAAAAATGTTTGGCAATTTCAAAATTAATGCTGAATGATATTTGACAGTGAATGCATCCCCACTGCATAGCCGCACACAAACGTTGGTTTATGTATATGAAGAGATTTGGTTTGTTTATTTATTTGATTTGGGGTTGGTTTAAAATTTGCAATTTAGTTTTGTTATTTGACATTTCAATTTCACAAAGAAAAATGTGCAGCATTTTGTCCAAGAAATAATAAAGGACATATTTTAATTTATAATTTATCTTAAATCTCATTTTGTTGAAAATAGATTGAGAAAATCGTATCGTATCGTTAATTGTATCACATTGTGAGTTGAGTGAATTTGTTACATCCCTACCAGACAGTGATGCATCTGGTCAGCACACTGCGATACAATCTTGATGGTTTTCTTATTCTGAGTTCCATTCACTCCGATAGGTTGATGTGGTGAGTTGACTGTAGTCTGCTGATTTGAGGACTTGTGAAAAACATGAATATTCATAATTAATTGCACTTAATTAATGAATGAGTGCAGTGCTGACTGGGCAAGAGACAGCAAAAGTAACCCATTTTGGTCTCGTTTACAGGGAACATCATGAAGAAACTACTGGAAAAATTGGGTTTGGTGATGAAATTGGCAAAGTTAGAGAAGGAGGAATGCCGAATGAAGAAAGCTGGGGATAAGAGTGAGGACTACAAAAATAAGCTTCGGGTTGAGAAAAAGAAGCTCAGAGAAGAGCAAAATGAAACAGATATATCAGTTACTATGAGCTGCTTTATCAAAGCAATATCAACACCAGAAAGAGCCTACTTCTTAAAATGGTTAAGAATCGCTCTAGAGAATAAATCTCATGAAGTACTGCCTCAACTCAGAGAACTGTACAAACAGAAATATCAAGATATTTGTGGGAACAAGACAGAAATTGCTGAGCTTGATAAAAAGATTTCAAACAGTTCTTTAGGAGTGGAGCATTTCATTCGAGAGATGAGCCAGCTTTACGAAGCTGCAGTCTCACTCCCAGAAGATGCACTTTACCGAAAACAGCTGGAACATTTACCTAAACTCTGTGCTCAACTACTGCTGGATGGATTTTCACTTGAACTTGTAAATGGAGATTCTTCAAATATCGCTGAAAAATGGCTGTCTAGTGTGTTTTCTGAATTAAACACACTGGTGGAGCCCAAAAACAAGATTATGGTTGTCACCGTTTTGGGCGTCCAGAGTTCAGGAAAGTCAACGCTGCTGAACACCATGTTTGGAGTTCAGTTTGCAGTGAGCAGTGGAAGGTGCACCAGGGGAGCCTTTATGCAGCTCATTAAAGTAACAGAAGAACGTAAAGCAGAACTCCAATGTGATTATATAATGATAATTGACACTGAGGGACTGAAATCCCTTGAGCTCGCACAACTGGACAACAGCTATGAACATGACAATGAGTTGGCAACTCTTGTTGTTGGACTGAGTGATGTAACAATTGTCAACATCACCATGGAAAACTCCACAGAGATGAAAGACATTTTACAAATCATTGTTCATGCCTTCCTCAGGATGAAGGAAATGGGTAAGAAACCCAAGTGTTTGTTTGTACACCAGAATGTTGCTGATGTCTCAGCTCACGTTTCAAACATGAGAGACCGTCAATTTCTCTTGGAGCAACTGGATGAAATGACACAAGCTGCAGCCAAAATGGAGAACAAACTGGAGGTCAAGAAATTTACAGATTTGATGAATTATGACACTGAGACGGGTGACCACTACATCCCTGGATTGTGGCATGGAACCCCCCCAATGGCACCAGTGAGTATTGGCTATAGTGAGTCTGTGTATGCTCTCAAAAAGCATATAATGGAGATCTTTAAATGTTACAAGCCCAGCACAATCAATGAATTTCTTAAATGGACCAAAGACTTGTGGACTGCTGTGAAATTTGAGAAGTTCATCTTTAGCTTCAGAAATAGTCTGGTGGCTGATGCATACATGAAACTGTGCACGGAGTACAACAGATGGGACTGGACACTGAGAAAACAAATGCATACATGGGCGTTAGAAGCTGAAACTAATATCTTAAACCATGGAAAATTTGAAAACTCTGAGGAGTGCACTGTTGAAGATGTCCACTGTCATTTACTACAAGAAGCAGAATCTGAACTTTCAAAAGGACAAGACGAAATTATTGCCAAGATCCAGTCATACTATGAACAAGGAGAAGGTCATGTTGAACTTGTGGAAAGTTATCGACAAGACTTTATAAACTCTGCCAAGTCTTTGAAGACAGAGCTTTCAAATTCAATCAGAATCAAATTGGATGCAGCTTTTTCACGTCGAAATGGAATGATGAAGGTCGAAGGAATCATAAAGACATACATGGACACAATGGAGAAAAAAGTGCTGGACTTGCTGAAAGACTGTCGTGAGAAAAAGGCACACATGTCAGAGTCAATGCTGGATGAAGCATTTGAAAAGATGTGGCAGGAGACTGTTAGGACATTGTCATACACAGGGCTCCAGAAACAAGATATCATTACAAAAGTTCTTCATCATTTAAGAAAAAATCTTGAATCTAGAGGAAGTTCAGTGGCTCAAAGCTTAGACAAAGTGAAGGATTTTAACAATCATGGCCATGGAAATTTTGTTGTCCACAAAGGTAACTTTATAACCAGCAGGTTTGTTTATGCTCAGTGGAACCAGACGGTTCAAGAGATGTCAGACAACCTCATCGCTGAATGTCGGGATTTTGTTGAAGCAAAGAGGGAAAGTAAGGATGATTATGATGACACATACATCAGGGAAATTCTTAACATGATTGAAGAGAAAATCAAGGCTCACGAAGATCTTCAGCTAAAGGAAGATTTTGAACTGTCCCTTAAATTATACATATGTGGCTTTGCAAGCAGAGAATTTCAAAAGATTCACAATCAATTCATCCAGGAAAGCAACCCACGAACAACCTTGGAGAACGCCAAACAAACATACCACTCTGACTTCATTGACCTTTATCGTGAACGAGACCAGTGTCAGAAGAAAGCTGATGAATTCATGAGTAACTGTCTAAAACCTGCCTTGGAAACATACATGTCTGAGGTCTTGGGCACAGAAATGGCAGATAAGATGGTGACTGGTGAAAACTCTGCAATTTTCGGAACAAGGACAACATTTCAGCAATTAATCTTGAAAAATCTTCTTGATGAATTTGAATGCAAATCATATTGGCGTTTCATAAAGTCATATGAAACGTATGTCAAAGACTTTATTTTTGATAAAATCAGAGAACACTTTACAGCAGAGAACAGAATGATCAAACTAGAGGAAAAGGTTCTCAATGAAGTCATCCGTGAAATTATCCAGGCCATTGAAGACACGGAGCAGGACCCAAAGATAAATGACATCAAGGGATTCATCCAAGACATCTGCAGGAAACTTCAAAAAAGGCTTGTTATTCCCAGGGATGTAGTGGACAAAATCAGCACACTGAACAATGCAAATCCCAAAAAAATTTCTGAAAGCCTTCAATATTCTGTGAAGGAGATGGCTAAATCACTGAAAGCTGGTTTTCAAGCAAGAGGTTTTCAAAACAAAATTGATCGTCTTCGAAACAAACCACAGGACGTGCTGTTCAAACGAGTGCATGGCTGTGGGAAACAGTGTCCATTCTGTAAAGCACCATGTGAGGCTGGAGGAGAAGCCCACGCTAAACACTTTGTCTCAATCCACAGACCAGAAGGCCTCGGCTGCTACAGATTTGATCATTCTGAAAAACTAGTGACAGACATCTGTACATCATCGGTGCACAGTGGCAAAAGCTTCAAGTGCCATGACACCAATGATAAGTGGCATAAATATAAGGAATACAGCCAAATCTATCCAGACTGGCAAATCGATTCAGACCCCAGTAGAGAGGCCTCAGCATACTGGAAATATGTGATGGCAAAATTCAATGAGCAGTTTGCTGATGAGTATGATGCAATGCCTGCAGATATACCATCATACTGGAAAGACATTACAAAGACCCAAGTAGAGGAAAGCCTAAAGTAAACATCAACTAACTAGTATCTGTCTGGCCTCTGTTCAAATTAGTTTGGTACACAAAGGTAAGAGAACTTTAAAATATCAAGGTATCCTTGAAATACGTTTCAACTGTAACAATAGAAGAGCAAAACCTGCTTTGGTTCAATACGATCACAGATCATAAAACAAAGAACAGTGGAGTGCATTACATCAAATTCTTCACATCTGAACAAGGTAATAATTTCCTAATGACTTCTGATGTCGTCAGACTGCAGCTTGCACTTGCTCTTGCCATGAAAGAAGCCATGAAAAAACAAATCTAAGTTAAGATTTTTTTTCCTACGATAAAAGCATCATTCAAATGTTGTAATATACTCTAGGTGAAACATCATTATTTCATCTATATATTCATGGATACTTTTGTTTTATTGAAATCCTTATACTTTTTTTTTTTTTTTTGTGGGTGTAACGTTTGTGATGCTCTTAATGTAACTCGCTGATGTTTTGTCATGACTGTGTGGGGTTTTTTCACAAGCTATGTTTTCGATTTTGAGTTTAATTTGAATACATTTAATTTTCTCTGTTGTAACTATTGAGATTTGTGGTTCTGTGTGTTGTGTACAGGCATGTTTAAAGATATCAAGAATGTTCTACAATATCACAACCAAATGTGCATGATCTTTAGCAGTGGTATAGAACCTTTTTCCTTAATTTCATAAAGTGATTCTTCAAAACTGTTCACTCAACACTTTATTTTAAAGTGGCAAAGACGTAGTGGCAAATTGCATATGCATTCAGCAAAAAAAAAAGGCTAAATAATTCAACATAATACTAACTACTGCAGCTTTCTGATTGTTATGCTAATACATGATATTAATTTATGCTGCATTCAGTTTGTTATTGCTTCTTTAATGACATTATGTGAATGAAAGCGAGACAGTTGATCTCCAAAGTTCAGTCAAAACTCACCCACTGAGAGAATTGGGTCACTCTGTTCTTCTAACCCTCTCCTATTCACCTTCAAGGAGATCAGATATGTGATAGTGAGACAAATATATGATTTTGTAGCATTCTGTGCAACAACCTGTTATAACTAAATATAAATAAAATGGCCTATTAATAATTTGATGGCTTGTGGTATTTCCTGTTCTGTAGATATTTATTATTCATGTCGCTCCGGAAGCTTTGCTGCCTGTACAGGGTATGTGGCAGCTGGTCATATTAAGCAGCATGAAAAACAAAACTTTTATTCAAATTCTGAATAGATTAGGTAGGCTAGAAATGTTTCTAACTTGAACTGAATGGCCAATCAGGTGTGTGTGTGTGTGTGTGCCTGGTATTTATCATGTTATAGGGACCAAATGACATCTGAGGTCCCCATGAGAAAACAAGCTTATAAATCATACAGAATGAGTTTTTTTTTGAGAAAGTAAAAATGCACAAAGTTTCCTGTGAGGGGTAGGTTTAGGGGTAGGGTTGGTAAAGGGCAATAGAATATACAGTTTGTACAGTATAAAAACCATTACGCCTATGGAGAGTCCCCATAAAACATGGAAACACAACGTGTGTGTGTGTGTGTGTGTGTGTGTGTGTGTGTGTGTGTAGAATATGTTTAAATAAATGAAAAATGGAACGTAACCCATGAAATATGGATTATACATAATCTGAGTTACATAATCAGATTTGTCATGATTTGTGATATTTTAAAATGCTCATAGTTAAATGCTTTGTTGAAATCATGTCTGATGAAAAGCCTTAAAAGCAATTTTCTGCAGCATTCAGTTTGCTATTATTATTATTTTTTATTGATGTTATTTGAAGAAAAATTAGAGTTGATCCCCCAAAGTTCAGCCAAAACTCACCCACTGAGAGAATTTGGTTTCTCTCTTCTATCCTTCTCCTTCACCTTCAGGAAGAGCAGATACGTGACAGTGACACAAATATGTGTTTGTGTGACATTCTGTGTGCAAAAACCTGTTTAACGAGTTTTCAAGGAAACACCTCATACCTCTGGGTTGCACAGTGGAAGAGAGGCTGGTCATCAGGAATATACAGCTTTAAAATCCTTGTTTACTGAGATCTGTGACTCATATTCTTGAATACTCAGTCACATAATCTTTACATACAGAGAAAACAGAAGGTTGGATTTTTCTACATTCAGTTTTTTTTTCTTCACACAGTCAATGATAAGGTAAGAATCGTTTTACATAAAACAGAAAAATTCATTAACTGTAACTTTACACTCTTTAAAACTAAAAATAAAAAAAATAAAAAAAGAATAACGTTCTGCCAATTTCTATCTCATTCACACAATTGATAGCAAGAAACGTGAGGAAACAAACAGAGAAAGAGCGATATGGAGATCAGAGAAGAAGAATCCCGTTCCTCCAGACCACAGGTGAACCAGTCTAATATGCTGCTAAAGCAGGAGAGCATTGATAAAAGACCAAATTGTGAGTATATTAGGAAGTTGTAATACAATAACTTTTATTTGATATACAAGTAATGCAAATTACAATTAGTAATGCAAAATATGACAGTGATGGCATACTCATTCCTACTTACTTCCATGAGCTTCATGTACTTCAGGAGATACTGTGTGTGTGTGTGTGTGTGTACTCGTTTTTGTGACAAATGAGGACATACATTTGTATAATGACAAAGGTATGACATATGTATTACAAGGAGAAGGTGACTTTTCAGGACATTACCCCATGTCCCCACTTTTCAAAACGCTTATAAATCACACAGAATGGAGTGTATTGAAAATCTGAAATAGCACAAAGTCTCCTGTGAGGGGTAGGTTTAGGGGTAGGGTTGGTGTAGGGCAATAGAAAATACGGTCTGTACAGTAGAAAAACCATTACGCCTATGGAGAGTCCCCACTTTTCACAAATGTAAACCTGTGTGTGTGTGTGTGTGTGTGTGTGTGTGTGCTTCAATGTGTGTGCTTCACAATATCTGATTGATAACAATGTGACTTAGTATAAAGCAAAAATGTCTGTCCACCACATATAAACTGTGTCTAAAGAGAATTAAACGTATTGTTTCAGTTTCTCATGATTCTGGTGCACCAGAACAGTGTCAACTCTGGGATCACATGCTATTCATTATGTCCATTTTAAGTACTTAGTATTGGCTGTGAATGAATGTTTGTGTTAAACTTTTCTCCTTAGAGCATAAGAATGTGACGTCATCAGCTTGCTCTACCACCAGCACCCAGTAGAGGAAAGGTTTATAAATGTATTTGCTGATAAATGCTCCAAAGTGGCATTAAGTCAAAAGCCACTGAACAGCCTTGCCTAGTCCATTTATGGGAATTCACTGGCCGGTTTTCAGCCTGTTTACACTCTGACATATTGCAATAGGAGAGGATCAGCTGGATGAACTTTGAGAAGGAACAAGATCTTTGAGAAGATAACTTTGCATTGACATTACACACTTAATAGTTCTCACAGAACGATTGGGAAAGACTCCTGCTCTTACAAAAGACAGGATTTCAGATGTGTGTTTGATATGAAGCCCATGAATCAGCTGTTTGAAGCACCTGAGAGGATGATGCTACAGACAGATACACAACATCTCTAAACACATCACTGAAACACAGAAGACGGAGCAGGAATCTTAACCAAAAGAAAAAAAAACTTTTGAACTGTGTTCTGTGATTAATTTGAATAAATGTGATGATTTGTAGTTTTATATGAATCTTCTGTTCATATTATTTCATACTCTTTTACAGTAGATGATAAATGAATAATGGATAGTAATGCATTACATTGATTCTGATTATATTGATTATATGCAATCTGGGTTACATAATCAGATGCAAAAATCTGTAATTATGTTATATTTTAACTGCTTTATCAGCATCTCTCCCTTCATATTTTACACCATGTAAATACAATGTGTGATCCACTCTTCTGTTTGTGACAAAAGCAACACGCATTCATTAGATAATATCTTTTCATGACAAATAATTATGCATGTTACCAAACACTGTTCATGCTGTAAAAAATGACCGTGATGTGTCACCGTGATGGTGTTTAGTGTTTGTGTGAATGACGCTGTGCACCTTCTATATATGTTATTATTTAAAAGCTGCTTGTGATGGGCTTTGGTTCATCATGTGACTTTCTCATCACCTCCTGCATTTGGTGGTTATCAGTGTATTACAAAGGTACAAAACAGAATTCAGCACTTCAATAGGTTGGTATATTAACATTACATCAGTTAATGAAATTATGGTATTTAACTGTTAATTTAAGTTTAAACCGTAAAACCTAAAATGTTGCTACCGTATTTTTTTACGGTAAAAAAAACAGCAGCTGTGGTTGCCGGAATTTTACTGTAAAAAATACGGTAGCAACATTTTAGGTTTTACGGTTTAAATTTTACATAATTTTTTTACAGTGTGTATAGTTGTGAAATAGGCCTATTATGTATTCAACATAGGCCTATAGAGCAACAATATTTATTTATTTATTTAAAATGTATTAACTGTAACTACGAAATTCCTCCTAATTTAACATCCCTTTTAACATGAATCGTTTAGCCATTATAAATCCGTACTTATGAGAGTATCCTCAAATGTCTTAAACTATTAGGTCAAAAGTAAAGTAGCCTAATTTAAAAGTAATCAGAAGTAGTCGCAGTATATTGACTAAATTGTCTAGTGTTTTGACTGCAATGTACTGACTAGAATGTTAGTCATGTAAGTTGTAATCATGTGAACAAAGCAGGACTGAATGAACAGTAGGCCTATAAGTCTTCTCAAGTCCTCCTACCTGTTACATGTCCAACGATCATTATAAAAGCATTGTTACAGTGGCATCTTCTGAATCGGGGTCTCCAAACTCGGTCCTGGAGGGCCGGTGTCCTGCAGAGTTTAGCTCCAACCCTAATTAAACACAACAAGGTCTTACTAGGCATGCTAGAAACTTCCAGGTAGGTGTGTTGAGGCAAGTTGGAGCTAAACTCTGCAGGACCGAGTCTGAAGACCCCTGCTCAGCAGTATAGTGGCGAAAAACAGCATTGGCTTAGAAATCACACTTGGAGCAAATAAATTAAATTACATTTTCTGAAGTGCACTTGGCAGTGGACTTTAGTGAACTAATGCAACACTCCCACCTAGTGGCCCATTTTAGTAACGACATGATTGAACATATGTTTATTGAACGACACATGCATAAACCAAATATGCAGCTCCTTCATCTGCCTCTTCACCTTGAAATGTTGATCATCTCCATTTTTGCCATCTAAGCTTCCAAATAAAAATACATAAATTCCAGCTTAACCAGCTAAGTGAATGTAAGTTGAGAATGATCAAATGTGGACAATGAAATATGAAATCAGATGTGAGTCATGTATTATGTTCTAAATTTATTTGACTACATTTGGCCCAATAGGTATCATTCATAATTAATGCTGAATTATTTGTTGTATATTTAGGCTGATTTAAGGCCATAATATATGTCAGCTTTAATATTGAGCATCAGGCATGCCATAAAAAAATGTAAACCTTATATTTTTCCTCTCCCTCATCTGCTGTACATAATGTACAGTCAGTGACCAGCACATATTTAGACTCTCATTTAAATTAAATCCTACTGAATATAAAAATATAGGGAACAAATATTTATTTCAGGTCACCAAAATTTAAAATTATTGTTTTAATGTGCCATTTTTTGTTTAAAAACATTCTTATAATAATATTCAGATATATAAGCTGGTATAGTCACAGCTGTTTGGAGGAAGGACTAAAATAGGCCACAATGATCAAGCACATGCATTCTGTCTCCATTTAGTGATTGTGCTCACTCAAAAAAAAAGTTTTGATTGGGTAATTACCTATTTTTTCCTGCATGTAAATAAGAGTTGGCCATAAAGTTAGACTGCAGATTCAACACTAGGGGGCGTATTACTGACACAGATTGGATTTACAGTACATGTGTATTATTGATGAGGCTCAACAGAAAAGCAGTCTGTGTGATCTTTTTTTTTTCCTTATTATGTGGCCACTGAGCCACAATAAAACAAATTCCAAATTTTGCCTGGCATATGTCAAAAATAAACTGTTTACCGATGCATGTTTTAATATGCAGTACAGTAC